CACCCCAGTGGCAGAAATCTGAAGAGATGATAAATAGGTTTTCTGGATCTGCCAAATAGCGGGCAAAAATCTTCCCATAGACGGCCTCTCTTTCAGGATTCAGGGATCCAACTAAGATAGGGACAATTCTAAACTTATCTTGATATCTAGTCAGGATATAAAATTAAAAAAAATTTATTCGCAGCGAGATGAGAAATTTAAGTATAATGGCTTTATCTTCATTGTGTGCGATTTATAAAGGGCATTAAATATCTGGGGTTGCCAAGTCATAAATTGTAAATAAAATTTAAGGTATTTAGGATTACTCTATCCAGCTATTGATTAAGCATAATAATGTTATTTGGCCACCACCTGCGATTTTCTTCTAATGCGATTAAAAAACGAAGCAAAATGATAAAGCGATAGAATTGCTCGTTACACTTACTGAATTTGCCTAGGAGGCTATTATTGATACTTTTCATTAAAATTATAGACGGTAAATCTTCCTGAGAATATGCCAACCTATAAGCATGACTGAAGAGCATAGAAGACCGATTAGGAATGGCGAATGTAGTGACAAAGCTTTAACAATGGTAATGCAAAGTATCACCGAAAATGCCAGAGTGGAACATATGGATCAAAAACAAATAGGGTGGAAATAAATCCTCAAATCCTTTGTACTAAAATAAAACATAACGTGAAGATAAGAGAGTAAACTAAGTACAATGAATTCTTTTAGACTGTTTCGAATCGAAAGTACTCCATGCTACTACGGGCGTCGTAGTACAAGCAGATCAAATAAGGTAAAGGCTGGGTGAAAGTTAACCATTAGATGAACTGAATTCGAGGTAATGATGATCGCTTCATCCACAAAAAGGTGATAATTTGCTTTTTTCGAATGATAACGACGTGCTATTTCCTAAGTGAAGTCTCGCCTAGACTCAAAATAAGGCAATTAAACGGGAATAAATGAAGGTAACTGCATTAGGCGTAGCTGGGCCTTAAAAGATCAATATGACCGACAAAAGCATTCACTTAACAGGGAAGAATTAGGGACAAATTAATAAAAAACACAAGGTTTTTATAAGCAATTTGGAAGCTAAATCCGGTACATGCGATAGAGATACTAAAGTAGTCCAAGCTAAAAGCTGGAAAAAAATTATAGACAGAACAAAGGTCTTTAAGAGAGTTTTCAATGCACATGGACAATTGTAAATGGAGATCTCGGGAACATGAAAAAGCAGGTTCTACCAATGATCCGAGCCAAAAATGGCATAAACGAGGTAACAAATCATGCGATACAAGCGAATACAACTAAATAAACTACATAAAATGATTTTGGCAACAAATTGAAGATAACACAAGGAAGGATTAATGAGACGCTTAAATAAGACAGAACGGTCACTTTTGAAGTGAGGAAACAATCAAATACTCGTAAAAATATTCAATTAATTCTTCCTAGATGCACACCGATATGCAAGCAGATGCACACACGAAGCGGAAATAAAATACCTTTGGCTGGAAAGTATGATTTCACGTGCTATCTAAGATAATTTCGATAGGCAGCCAACTAGATCGTCACGCCATTCAAATTTCCCCAAATGGGTAATGCGGGAGATAAATAGCTAGCAAACAGATTGACATAAATTATATAACATTAATTGGAACAGCCCAACCCAGCAGATATAACGCAGCAATAAAATAACGCACAGAATAGAATATAGAGACATAAAGTGTACTTTTGTGCGAGAAAAAATAGCATTGGGAAAAAGCACATACTGTTCCATAACTTTCGCCAAATAAGGTAACTGCATTTCTAAAGAATGTTCATCTTCATCCCGTTTTAACGAGAGTTCGCAGAATTCACCAGTATGGCGAAGCTCATGTAAAGCTTAAGCAGATGTATCTAAGTGGACACCTACTTGCTTCATCAATATGGAGATTATAAAAAGGTGTTTGATAAATTTCAGCGCAAGTTAGCGCACAATTTTGGCCCAAATGAAAATGATGAGAAGGTCCAAGTATAAAAACTCGTCTACTGTAATCGGAAAGAAGAGAGAAAAACAAAAATCAATAATCATAGAAATATTAGTTCAGGCTCATTCTAAGGCTTACATGTTTGTCGGATCAATCTGTTTATATGCATAGG